GACCCAAACCATTGTTGGAATCTTAATCTGGCCTTGGCCCAATTTCTCCTGGATGTTATGGAAACAAACCCAAAAAAGTCCATGCTCAATAATCCAGGTATACAATCCAACAATTTTCAGTCAGGTCATCTGGACAGTTTTTTATTTTGCTGAAACATTTCACCTTCCATCCAGAAGGCTTCATCAGTCAAGGAAACACACAACAAAAACTGATTCTTCCCCCTAACAGCTTACTCCAAAGTGGAACAAACCAGTTATGTTGGTGCTAAAATGGTGTCTTTGGCACGCCCCCTCCTCTTGTGCCGGCCCTCTTCCTTGTCGACAGTCATGTCAAACTGGTTCAAAACCAAAAAAGTGTATATTTTTACATAACCATAATACTGATTAATGTATTCAATAACTGTATTTGAGTTTAATCCATTTTTATTTTGTGGTAATACTTTTATCAACTGTCGACACCATCTTATCACCAACATAACTGGTTTGTTCCACTTTGGAGTAAGCTGTTAGGGGGAAGAATCAGTTTTGTTGTGTGTTTTCTTGACTGATGAAGCCTTCTGGATGGAAGGTGAAACGTTTCAGCAAAAAAAGAAACTGTCCAGATGACCTGACTGAAAATTGTTGGATTGTATACCTGGATTATTGAGCATGGACTTTTTTGGTTTGAACCAGTTTGACATGACTGTCGATGAGGAAGTGGGCCGGCACAAGAAGAGGGGGCGTGCCAAAGAGACCATCTTAGCACCAACATAACTGGTTTGTTCCATTTTGGAGTAAGCTGTTTGGAGGAAGAATCACTTTTGTGTTGTGTGTTTCCTTGACTGATGAAGCCTTCTGGATGGAAGGTGAAACGTTTCAGCAAAAAAAGAAACTGTCTAGATGACCTGACTGAAAATTGTTGTATGGAAACAAAGACGCTCTGATCCACTCCCCACCCCCTCCACTCCCCAAGGACATCTGCAGAAGGGTGCCTCTGATAGACACCATATCAGAACTTTGGTACTTCCTGGAGTGTCCGTGGACAACCCCCTCAAACTCATGCTTTCACTGGCTCTCCTTGTTGCCTTCCTGGTGCAGCATCCTAGGAGATGCGAAGGTGCCAAAGGGCTGCATCGCTCACCTGGTGGCTGTGCTGGGACCCCCACCCCTACCCAATCCAAATGCATGTCTATCTATATTGCTCTTGTTTGTGCTGAGGTAGATTTTTTTTTTTTTTTTTTGCTTCTTCACAGTGTCCTGTGTCCAAGGACATGGTGTGAGAGAGCTTTATTCTATACCTTTCTTTCCTCATGTTTTTCTTTTCTCATCCATGAAAGGTCACGTTGCTCCATGTGGCTGCAGTACTCAACATCTTGTCCCCCCATGTATGTTGTCTTGGCAGGATGTACTAAAATTAAATTTCCCCTTGGGGATCAATGAAGTAAGTGAGAGAGTGAATGTTTGTTTGTCTCGTTTGTCTCTATGTGTCCCTGTGATGGACTGGAGACCTGTCCAGGGTGTCTCCCGCCCCTCACATAGTGATTGCTGGACATGGGCACTGGCGACCCCCGTGACCCAAAATGGAAGAAGCGGGTAAAAGATAATGGATGGATGGATGAAGTATGTTGAATTGAATGTTTTTGGTAGCCTCCTTTGCAACTTTACCCACCATTTCATTTCCTCTTATTCCTATGTGAGCTGGTATCCATACAAATGTAACTATTAACCCCATCATCTTAATTCTGTCTTGGACACTCGGACTGTAAGCACAGGATCTCCACAGGGCTGTGTGCTTTCCCCCCTGCTTTTCTCCCTGTACACCAACTGCTGCACCTCCAGCCATGACTCTGTGAAACTTATTAAGTTTGCAGACGACACCACCCTCATCGGGCTCATCTCGGACGGTGATGAGTCTGCATACAGGAGGGAGGTGGACCGGCTGGTGACCTGGTGCAGCAGCAACAACCTGGAACTCAATGCCCAGAAGACAGTGGAGATGATTGTGGATTTCAGGAAAGCCACAGCCCCTCTGCCCCCCCTCACCTGTAATGATACCCCCATCACCACTGCGAACTCTTATCGGTTCCTCGGCACCACCATCACCCAGGACCTCAAGTGTGAGCCGACCATCAGCTCCCTCATCAAGAAGGCCCAGCAGAAACTGTACTTCCTGCGACAGCTGAAGAAGGCCAAGCTGCCGGCCAAGCTGATGGTGCAGTTCTACACGGCCATCATCGAGTCCATCCTCAGCTCCTCCATCAAGGTGTGGTACGCCGGGGCCACTGCCAGGGACAGACTCAGACTGCAGCGCGTTGTGCGCTCAGCTGAGAAGGTG